AGGAACAGGACGTAGATAATGTGAAGGAGGTCAATGTCGAGAATCCACAGGAGGTTGTGGAGGATTTTTCTGAGAACACTGATCCACCTGAAGAAGTAAAAGTCGAAAAAGAACTGAAAGTGGACAACGGAGTCGAAAAAGAACTGAAAGTGGACAACGGTGAACGTGTTGTTGCTGAGGAAAAGAAATGGCCTGGGTGGCCTGGAGAGAACGTGTTCCGACTGTTAGTTCCTGCTCAAATAGTTGGTGGTGTCATTGGACGCAAAGGGGAAACTATTAAAAAAATATGCGAGGAGACAAAGGCTCGAATTAAGATTCTCGAAAGTGGCCCTGGCTCCATGGAAAGAACTGTGAGTTACCGTGGACTTTTTGTGAAATTTCATTAACCTAACTTTTCTTCATTCGTATTTTGATTTAGTTTTGTAATTCTTGTCAGTACTGGTTTTTCAGAGTAACACTTGAGTTATGTTTGGTTCGGTACCCCCAGAAGCAAACTTGTTCTTTTCCTTATTCTACCTAGAAATTATGACATTATGCTACCACATTTATTCATTAATACATGCATTTATTAATTCATGATATCTACCTCCTCTTCTTACCAAAAGCTTCTCTGTTGCACTTTCAATCATCAAACATGTGGTAAAAGAATTTATGAAGTTATTTTTCTTGTAACCTGGTTACCTGCGCTTTCCTTAATTTTGAAGCCTCTGGTGTGTGTCCATTCTGGAAGCTTTACATATGTTTTTGCACGTGTTTGATATGGCCAACTTTCGATATATAAGTATTGCATAAAATGTAAATGCTAGGATTGCTATTGATAACCGCGGTAGAAATCTGTAGAATGTGTGAGAAATTCAGAATTTGTTAATTTCTCTTAGAGTAATAAGATTGAGCACACTATTGTATTATCCTTGGATCTAAAAAATATTAAACTCTTCGGTGACACAAGATATGCCAAAAATATTCTTATCATATAATAAAGTAGGTTAGATACTAAAACAGCTAAGATAGTAAAAATGTTAAGTATCCATCAATTAAGTAAAAAATTTTCTACAGTGGAGACAAAATTAATTCATGCAGGTTTGCAAATTAAGCAAGATTTGAATTTATTGGGTTTCTTCGAACAAGAAGAATCAAAGATTCAAATTGCAGTATTGAATGACGTCTACAAGCTCTGGCATTTTCTGATTATGTCAGATTGCTTTTTGGCTGGCATTGCTCTGTATCTGGTAACTTCAGAATCTGGTCGATGGGTGTCTTGCAAAAGTTTGTGAACTGTCTTGAAAATTAAATTATTGAGGAGCCAATACAACTTGATGGACTAAGAATCAGTTTTCTAAAGGATAATCCAAGAACAATGAGTTATTTTGTAAAAGGAGTACAAAATACCTTCAACGGGAGGTTCTCGATAAAAAAATATGGAATCTATCATAAATAGGAAAATGGATAATCCTAATGCGTACGGAATCTCAACTTTCAACACTATGTAATTCCTTGGAATCTAGACTTTTACATTTTCTTTATAAATCTTATATAAAATTTCTATATTTAAATAAAATACTTAAAGTCTTTTCTGAGCATGCATCTCTTGTTGGCCATGCACAAAATATTAGGTAAATAATTACTCACTCTGTTTTAATTTACTTGTCGTTCTAGCTTAAAAGAACAAAATTACGTATTTGAAAGAATTAGTTACCTTACAATTCTATTAGATTTTCCTAAATCTTCTAAATCTTATTTAAATACCTTTTTAAGTTTCTCTCTCCTTATTAGATAAAGATACTTAGCATTAAAAAAAACCTACATAATTTTAGGATTTGAGATATTTATCAAACTAATTAATTCATGGTTATCCAAAACGACACTTAATAAGCAAAAAAATGTACTCTCAAACGACAATTAATAAAAAACAGAGGGAGTATATGTGGTATCACTAGTTTTGATCTTGCAAGTTTCAAGTTATTGGAAGGACTTTGGTTGGACTATATGATGATTTTTTAGATAAATGCCCTTGTTCAGTTCACTTTATTGGTTAACCCAGTGAGTGATTGAAAAGAAATTCATTGCTCAGGCAATGTACTAGCCAGTGCTTGGAAGTGGATCATAGTATCCTAGTGTGGCGTTGAACATCAGTACAGTATTCTTACAACTACTCCCTGATTTAGCCATAATTTTTCCTTCTCAAATAAAAAGATGTGTTTATTGTTTCTGATTAAATGTTATATAGGTTTAACATAAGCAATCAGATGGTAATTGGTATATTCTACAATAAGCTTCATTACTTCGACCAGTTAAAATAATGTGTAATGCTGGGATATATGGTGATATGTTGACTATCTTACATAGATTAGAGTTCAACAGACCTTAACGCGCTGCCTTCGTTCATGCAGGCATAGGCATATTGAATATCTTAAGTTTGAATTCTTGTATGCTCTGTAGTTTATTATTGTCCTTTACAGAAGTATATTTTGCCATTTGTATCAGGTAATGGTTTCTGCAAAGGAAGAGCCAACTCTTCAAATTCCACCTGCTGTCGATGGGCTTTTGAAGATCCATAAACACATTATCAGTCTAGAGTCAGACCCAGCCAATGTACGATCAGGTCAAATTTGCACAAGGCTCCTGGTGGCAGCTTCCCAGGCTGGCAGTTTGATTGGGAAGCAGGGTGCTACTGTAAAGTCTATCGAAGATGATTCAAATTGTAGCATTCGTGTGCTTGGTGAAGGTGATTTTTTTAATTGTGTATGCACATGTGCTTGCTTTGTTAACAGTTGTGCTTTGAGTAATTCACAAAAACTGAGAGTGAAATGCACTATCACATTGTCATTAACAAGTCTGATAACTCTTTCAGTTTATGTTTGTGCTTGACATCCCCTCTGTATCAATTTGATCCCCGGGTGAAGTTAGGACATTGCTGTAAACAAATGAAGTTGCATGTAGATGTAAAATACGTTAAATATATGAATTTTCATGTTATCTTTGAATATATTACTATTCACATTAGACTGGTGATGTGTCGGGTGTCTACTTGTTCAGTTTGCTTTCTGTCTTAGTTTTTAGTTCTCTCTCTTTCTCTCGTTTGCTCTCTTTCTCTCTCCTTCTCTCAAAGTATCATTATGTGGATCTTGTCTGCATGAACACTAATATATGAACACATAGGCATATGAATAGTTATCTTTTTAACGAACTTTCTTAAACTTCTCGACTCAATCCTTTCTTATTGGCAATTTCTTATTATTTTGGATGTAATCATATTGCAGGGAACTTGCCAGTATTTGCTCTTCCAGATGATAGTGTAGTTGAGATACAGGGAGATCCTGCAGGTTTGCAAAAGGCAGTTGAACTAATTGCTACACATCTTAGGAGGTTTTTAGTGGATCGAAGTGTGATTGGAGTATTTGAGATGCAGGCAAGTCCTAGAGCAGCTTTTTCCAAGTGTATTGTGATAAACTGTTTATTTTCATTTAAAAAAAAAAGAAAAATGTTTATTTTTGGTTTGGCATTCAAACATATTATCATGCAGCTACTCGATTTAAGCAGATGCAAAATCCAAACTTTGGAGCAAACCAGAACTCACCCCCATCAAAACCTTGGGGCCCTCCTCAGCCAGCTTTCCCGATGAATGCTGGTAGACACGGTTATGGTCCCGAGCATTCGTCTGTGGCGCCTTATCCACGCCAATATGATAATTCTTTCCCTCCGGTAGACATGCAGCCTCGTCGTCCTCCTGCTTATGGTATGGGCTTGCCAATGGGAGGGGCCCAGACGAATAATGTGCAGCAGCCTCAAGCAATGATTACCAAGGTAGAAATAGAATTGCTCTCTCTTTTATATTCTCAAATGTTAATTGATGGGTTTTTTTAGAAATGTTTGCCTGAATATTATGAAAGATGAAAATGTCTGGTAGATGCTTATGTTGGTGAGTTAACTACTTCTTGTTCGATGTATTCAACTTTTTATAGTAAGGTGTTGTGTGGTATTTGTAATGTTTAACTTGTGTCAGTTCCATTCCTAGTCCGTGTTTGTATACAAATATATTTGCTCAAAACGAGTTTTTTTTGTTAACCAGAGTTAATTTTGAATAAAGTTGTATAGTTAGTTGTTAGTGGGTTTTTGATTTTATATTAAAACAATATTTAAAATAAAAGAATTAAAGTTAATTTATTTTTTTTGGTTAACCAGAGTTAATACTGAATAAGTGGTATGGTTAGATGCTAGTAGATTTTGATTTTATATTAAAATAATATTTAAAATAAAATAATTAAAGCTGATTTGATGTAAAAGTAGGAAAGATATATGATGTTAATTGATAGTTACTTTAATATTATGTGAGTGGATGAATAGTAAATTAAAGTTGATGTAATGTGTAAAAATGATTGAATGATATTATTGAATTATATTGATAATATAGAGGATAATGGAGTTGAGTTAAAATTGAGTTAGATCTTGAGTACGAAGTGAGTATGGATCGAGTTTTTTGATATACAAACGCACCTTTAGTCCCTTGGTGTTGAAATTATTGTGATCCCAACTGATATTGTCCGGGATATTTCTCTCTTTTGGGGGATTGGGATTTCATAACCGGTAAGGAAAAAAAAGGGATGTTTGGTAATTACTGTCCACTTGTGTTTTTTTATTACATAATGCAGTATGTGCACATATATTAGCAAACACTAAACTTCAAAGCCTCAAAGGCATCTGTTGACTTTGTCATACAGAACTAGCTCGAATTGCTTAATTATTTCTCACAGTTATTGCCGTTTTTTTTCCTATTCACGTTCTTCAGGTCACACAGAACATGCAGATTCCACTTTTATATGCTGATGCTGTTATTGGAATTAATGGTTCAAATATAAGTTACATTCGTCGTGCTAGTGGTGCAACTATCATAGTGCAGGAAGCTAAAGGTGTTCCTGATGAGATGACTGTGGAAATAAATGGGTCTTCATCACAAGTCCAAACCGCTCAACAGTTGATACAGGTTTTCGAGCGCCCTTATATAACTACTACTGTTTCATATATTTTTTTTTTTGGTCTCGTATTATGAGCCGTTAGATCCAAATTAATGAATTATGCATTTTTAAATTGTGTTCTTACGGATCCTGCATGACATTCGTTTCTCCTTTACCAGTTTTTACCTTTGTAGTTAAAGTTCTAATATTCTCACCTCCCCATATTAATGTTATGCTCTGAACCTCTGGTAGTTTCTGTTGTTATCTCTTGATACAAAATTCTAAATTTTTGCTATTTCGAACAATCAACTGGGCAAAACCTGTAATTAATTACATTTTTTGTTGCTTGCATTGCACGATGAAGAATTCGCTCGCCGAGGCCATTAGCAGTGGGCAAAACCCTGGCGGAGGGCCGGCAAGAAGTCAAGCATATAATAATCATAATCCTTATGCATCGTCTCATGGTCAGCTTGGCTACCAGCAAACTGGAGGAGACTATAATTATGGTTATTAGGGATTGTGTTATGTTATGTTGTTTTTGGATTTTAATTAGGGCTTTTACTTTGTACAAAACTAATGGTGTTGTTTGATGGTGATTGTGAAGTGTGTTTGTATTGTTTTTAGTGTATAACCATTTCTAGAGGCGCCATGTTTTCCAATTATTACTTAGAGCAAATACTTGAGTAAAAGCTGGTTAACGAGACAAGTTTTAATTCTGTACTTTTTTTTTTTTTTTTTTTTTTTTTTTTTTTTTTTTTTTTTAATTTATGATATGTAGCAATTGTATTTTCATTCTCAACTTAGTGTCGGTATATAATAGATATAGATTTTAATTTCTCCATGTTTAATAATGGATTTTAATTTTGTCCACATAGAAAACAGTATAAAAAAACTAACGTAAGAGGAGAAACTTTAGTTATCTTAATTAGTAATATCATACTAAGAGAAATTTAGAGTGAATTATAATTAAAAAATGTTTATAATCTTAAAATTATTTTAATAAATAAAATATTAAAATTATTAAGAAGAATTATGCTTATAAACGACACAACAAAAACACTGGTCAACAAAACAAAATTTTAAACAATAAGATATTTGGCAACAAAACAAAGTTTAGAAAAATAAGGTATATTGATTCCACCAAAATGGGAGCAATGAATATCCTATTTTGCATATGATTGTTGGTTGGGTGTACAAATTATATTAAACTATTATGTATTAATCTTATCATACTAATTTTACATTTATCACCTTCAGCACTCATACGTTATCTCTCTTAAAATCACTCATGTGTAATTCCACAATTTAGTAGTTTTCCAATCATTCTTTTTTTTTTTAATTGTTAGTTGGGTGCACTTATCTATTATATAAATACAAATTATATTAAACTATCATGTATTAATCTTATCATACTAATTTTATATTAACCTATTATTTACTAATTATTAAATAGTGCACATATTTATATAGTACAGATTTGATAATAAATTATTGGACCTATTATTTACTAATTATTAAATAGTGCACATATTTATATAGTACAGATTTGATAATAAATTATTGGAGGGTGATGAATAGTTCCATCAATAACACTATAAACTATCTTAAAATATATTAGAAAATCCAAATTTTTATTTAAATGTTTATGAAGTTTGTAAGCTATTTTAATATATTAAATTATCTCAATATTTAAACTTTATTTATCCTTATAATTACTTTATATATTTATAAACATTTTATTTATCGTTAGAATTAATTTTTTCCTTTTATTTGAATAGACAATCTTGCATGATTTTTATATAAATTATAATATTAGAGCATCTCCAATTGACTGTGGATTGTAGAATTACAGAAGAAGTTCAATCAAAATATTGTCTCCAACCGTGAATGTCTAGACACTACACACAGTGACATGGCATGAAAGAGAAAAGATAAAATGCAGAAGTCCTTCTACATGTAGAAGACTTGTTAGACATGATGACTCATTCTTTTCCCTTTAATTATTTCTTTTTTATTTTAATTAAATATATCATTTGGTTAAGAAAGAGACATAAACTATCAACCGCACGTACAAGAGTGATACTCTAAAAAAAACACTAGATACAAAAAAAATACCAAATGAATAGAAAAAACAAAAATAACAGATGAATACAAAAAAAATAAAAAAATAAAAATACAAATACAAATACCAAATGAATACTAGTTGGTTACATATTTTTGTTAAAAAAATGCAACCAAAAAAAAACATCGGATAAAAAAAAATACCAAATGAACATATGAATACAAAAACAAAAATAACAGATGAATACAAAAATAAAATATAAATATCAGATGAATACCAGTTGATTATATATTCTTGTTAAAAACATGCAACGAAAAAAAACATGTGTATAAACTTTTACAGTATGTCGACATCTACCACGAGAGAGTTACTTATCAATATGTCATTCTATTCCGTCCACGTAGATAAAAGACCGTCTATTCAATTATCAATCCACTTCAACCATTAAAAATGCTCTTACGATTCCTAATTTTAAATATTAAACCACGTTTTTAAGCTCGACATTATTTGTAGGTGTAGGGATTTAAGTTGAATTTTCCGTTTATGTGGAGACTCTTTATTTCCTTTTTATCTCTCTGTGCGTGTATTTTTTATTTTGCGTGGACGACTTTGAAAACTTAAAATTAACTTTGCAGAGGAAAAGGAAGAAGATTCAAGCGTACTAAAACACCTCTCTCTGTTACTGGTTTTTTTCTCCTTTTCTTGTGTTCATATTTTATAATTTCGGATATTTTTTTATTATTTTTTTTGTGAGAATTTTGTAATTGGGCCCTAAAAGTTATTTTATTTTTTATGTAAAATCACACAAGTTGGAGGGCCGAAAAAAAAAAATTATACAAACTTGTGCTCGCCCCTTATTAGTGTTGTAAACGAACCGAACTGAACCGAACTGAGCTTGGGTTGTTCGAGCTCGTGTTTGTTTACGTTCAAACAATGTTCTTGTTCGTTCGTTCATTTTTTGAGCAAAAAATCGTGTTCGAGTTCGTTCGTTTAATTGTTCGTCAAAGTTCGAGTTCAAATAATTTAATACATAAACTTTTTAAATATGCTTGATTAACTCGAAATATGTTCGTTCGAACACGAAAAATAAAAGAATAAAATAACAACATTTTTATATTTTAAATTTTCTATTAGAAATATTCTGTAAATATATATAAAAAAAATTATATTAAATTTTAGAGTTTTTATTAAAAATATTATATAAATATATAAAAAATAAAATAAAATTATATTAATTTAATGTTCGCGAACATAATCAAACGTTCACGAACGAGCTCGTGTTCGTTCGATTATTAAATGAGCCTAATTTTTCTGTTTGAACTCGGCTCGATTAATAAATGAACAAGCTTTTGTTCGCGAACATTCGATTTTTTTACAGCTCTACGGGTCATATGTTAAAACCTAACACATCTACACACAACATATAGTTTTCCCGCTTGCAATCCTATTGACTTGGTAACTATATATCTTTTTCATAGACAAAGGGCTTTTCATCATCTCTAAGGAGAAAGAAGAGGATTCAAGCGTCATATATGTCGTAATCTACATACTTGGTAACTATAGTTTTTCTTAAGTTAATTTCAGTTTTATTTTTGATGTTACAAAAGTGGTTGTGTGTAATCTACATATTTGTGATCAGGAAAGCAGTAGAAGTAAAAGGGTGAGGACAAGCATTGAGGTCGCTCTGTTGACAATGGACTCCTCGGTAATCATCGACATTATTGTTAGCTATAATAACATGAACACTGCATGATTAGATACTATTAAACAGTTGCTAAATACCCAATTATTCACTTTCGAGCATTAGAAGTTCTGCTGTCTAATGTCGGCGAAGACCTATTGTCGGAGATCCTTGTTAGACTCCCGAATTGTCGATTAGTTATCCAGTTGAGCTCTGTTTGTCGGCGTTGGCATGTGTTGATCTCTCAACCGCAATTCATCCCTAGCTTCATTTGCCTCCATCAAGATCAAGATCAATCCTACACCATCCTATTCCGCTTGAATTATACTCTAGTATTTATGAGACCCCAGAGTACTTTCAATTGGTTTGCACTCTTTTCTCGGAGGAATCTTTGCTTATCCACGGAAAGCACGCATTATTATCATCGTCTAACTATCTCGACTTCATGCCTTCTTCACTCATGGTCGTAAGAGCATCCTGCAATGACTTGTTGCTCGTGTCCGCCGATAAGTTTTTCTTCGATGGCCGTTTTTGCCACCACCATCAGAGGCACTACATTTGTAACCCGGTGACTAAAAAGTGGTTTCTCATTCCTAAAGAAACCCCTCTTGGAACAAGGGCAGGATTTGCATTAATATGCAATAGGAAGTCTTACAAGGTGGTACTTCTCGATATGTTTTCTCTGCCTGACAAAGAAGCAACAGACATTGTTGATACATATAAACAAAGAGTGTGGGTGTTTTGCTCCGAGTCGGGGAAATGGACCACATCTTTCTTCTTGCTTCCTGCTCGCCTGACAAGGGACTATCTCGTTGTCACCAATGTCGTTTCGTGCAATGGGATTCTGTACTGGATGGACAGTTCATGTAGCTTCGACCGCATTGTTTCTTTAGATTTGGCCAATAATCGGTGTGCCATAATCTACTTCCCGGACATTGTGCGTGAAAACACCATCTGTGACAATCCCGACTCGTGGGTCTACATTGGTGACGTGAGGGATGAGTTGAGGTTGTCTGCACTTTTTCAGAATCGGGCCGGCCCAAAATGCTTCGTCGGGGTTTGGGAATTGGACCATTGGGACGGTCCGTGGTCTTTGGTTGGGGAGAGGGAGTAGAAGTTTTCGGATGCCGTCAGTGCTGATGGTGAACGGGATACTGTGGTGGCAGCCGTTTTTCATTCGAAAGATTGTGATTCGATTTTCGTCATATGTGGAAAGAGTGTTTACGAGTGTGGGGTTTCGAAGGACAAGTGTCGCAAGCTCGGTGAGCTTCGGGAATCCATAGGCCACGAGGGTCTCGCGTCCTTTGTTCTAATGCATCTAGCTTGGCCCACGCCAATTCCATTTGGAGTTTAGTTGGGAGCTCGAGTTTAATTTCGTTTTCATTTATTTTCCTTTATCTTTGCTTATACTTTGTTTAATGCTTCAATCATATTCGAATGAATAAACTTATATTATGAAAGTTGGATTCTAAAATTGCGTGGTTATTTATTATGATTATCACATTGATGATATGCTTTTGTTGTTTTTAAAGTTTACTCCCATGATCTTGAAAATGTTGCTATCTTTGTTTATTTAGGCAAGTGACACCAAAACCAACTTTGAAACAAGAACAAACCCGATCCGTTATGCTTCTGCAGAAGAGGTCGAATAGATTCGGTACCTACTGTGTTCGATGCCTGACATAAGGTAGTTGTTTACGAGCCGTTAGATCAAATTAATGGATTTTTGCATTTCTAAATTGTGGGCTTACAAATCGTGAATTACTCTTTAAATTTTCGTTATGTTTCTTCTCTCTGAGTTACAAATGAGTGGCAATGGTGAAAGTTTGAAGGACAAGTTTAATGATGCTCTCTTTGAAAGCATATTGATATGTAGTTTGCATCCAATTGATCTTATTATGCTTGATGCTTTTTCCCCTTCTCATTAGTAGGGATAATCTTGTAATAGTTTCTTTTTTTTTTTTCAACATATGGGTTACCTGATTTCATCATTTGCTGGTATTAGAGGTTGTTGGAAAAATCAGTTGTAAAACTTGGGTTTGACCGGGTTTGACTGAATTTTTGATGGCTAAATATTCAATTTGAGTTGAATTAAATATTGTAGAAAAATTCTACGTTTCGAGTAGATACTCGTGGTATGTTTATTTTCTCAAA